GCCCAAAATATCATGCCAAGATGAGAATATACAAAGAGACTCTCAAACTCCTGAACAAGCGGAAGGCCTAATCAAGAGCCATACGGAGTAGCTAGCTTAATTGCGACATTATATATATATATATATATATATATATATATATATATATATATATGGAATTCTTAAATCGTTCATTTAATATTCCATAGCAGAATTCGTCAATCCCCACGTCGGATGTTCTTTGAAAATGACGATAACTTGATGCTCAAAATCAGTGCGTTGTTTAGCCATATGAGAAGGGTAGAACGAAGGACAAATTTGTCTGCAAATAACCTTTTAAATGACGAGTTACAAGATCGAAGAGCAATTAATCAATCATAATAGAACCAATCAGAGTTAAGTAATTACGCGAGAGTCGAATGATTATTCAAGGTCATGAATATTCAAGAATTTTATTCATGGTTATTCAAGGTGGTTTATTCCTAAAAGTGATAATAATTCTTTCGCTTTTTATCTGTGTATCCTGTAGTAAAGTCTTTGGAATTCCTATTGTGAACTCTGCCACCTAGGTTTCTTTTTGGATAAAAGTCGGCGTCGATATTTTTTGCAAACTCTGAAATAACCAGGTGAAGCCACACTTCCCTCTTTAGTTCACACCTGCCTGTTTAGCCGCCATAATTTTCTTAGGAATAAGCGTTATTTGTACCCCTTAACTGTTTTCACTTCTCCCCAAAAATCTGGTTTCGATCGATCAATGGCTATTTTAGAGGGTGTGACGGACTGACTAACGAAAGTTAGAAAATTTTATATATAGATATTTTGACGGTACTTATTCTAATGATCTTTCCTCTTCAGCAGTTACCTCTCATCAGTTTACGGTTGGAATGGCTAGATGTAAACGTAAGTTCTATGCTAGTAGTTTCATCTTTCGCACTTCTCGCTTGTGGAAAACTATTCTGGCCTTTTCTTTTCCAGTCAACTGTTTAAAATTTACGTATTAGTGGCTTTATTGTTTTGCTTGTAGAGAAATGATTTAAAAAATAGTTTACAGAAATCTACCAATAAGAATTAGCTCATAAACTATTATTCTCACCAGTGTATCAATCGTTATCTTCTGTCTTCTTATTCTTTAATTGTCCTCTCTCCTTAATAGTACTTTTTTCTCATATTCTCTAACATTCAACAACCTTTTGCGTCCAAGTGGCTTTATTGCCTTTCTTGGGGTGAAATGATTTTTTTTAAAAAGCAATTTCTCAGTAGCTATTTACTAGCCCTAACATTGGAGTTGTGGGTGATTTAACTGCATAGAGAATGAAAACGGCAAGCAGAGTTCAAACTGCAGCTGGAGCAGTTTGCATTTTGTTTTGTGATAAGGCTCTGGCAGAGAAAACGTTAATGTACTTCTCTCACAAGTTGTTAGTAATTATTAGGACAGGGGTTTACCCATTAACCCTGCAAGGTAGTCCAATTTAAGTGTCTAGCAAGCCAACCCTATGACACTATAGGTCCTTTACACAATTCGATCAGGCTACCCTAGTGGAATTTAAACTATTTTATGAGTCTTTAGCGTCTTGCATTTTCTATGACCAGCAGTAAAGTCTATGAAGTAGGAACTTCAAAGTGGCTACTCATTTGACCAGTCGATAAACAAATGGAAACTTTTGGGAATGCATAAATATTACTTTCCTTTATGGTATCTAGACTTTATGAATATAAGCGCAGTACTAGACTGGCGGCAAGGTCTCGTCATTTTACAGTTGAAATGGCTCGATGTAACCGTAAGTTCTATGCTAACAGTTTCTTCTCTCGTACTTCTCACTTATGGAACTCTCTTCTGTCCTCTTGCTTAGTCAACTTTAGGCTTCAAAAAATGAAATGCAATGTCAGTCGTTGTCTTTTGTCTTCTTCATTCCTGTTCTTGTATTGTTCTCTCTCCTTAATAAAGTTTTCCTTTTCTCATATTATTTCACTCTCGGTAACCTCATTGCGTCTTAGTGGCTTTATTGCCTTGCTCAGGGTGAACTGATTAAGAGAATAGTAATAACCAATTGTATCCTTAGAAATTCTACAGGTGTTGCCGATAAAAATGATCAATTATCTCCTGTCATTGACCTTCTCTCACCTGCCACGTTCGTCTCTATCTTATCATCCTGCCCCATGTCCCTTTCAATTTTAATGGTTCATCCATGTTTTTTTTTATTTATTTAAATATTCGACAAGGAATTATTTTATACGTGATAAAAAGAATATGGAACGCAAAACTATTTTCTACTGCATCCTCTCTTACGTCTTTCTGATGATCTATTAGGATGTTCGGAAAATAATGTCCGCTTATGCAATCAGCCTTTTGTGTTCTAATAGATTATGATAGTTACGTAAAAAATATATTACTCATTCCTAATGATTAAAGGGTCCTCTTTGTTAAGTTTATATCAATCTCTTTCAGAATATTGTTCTCAAATACATGACGCACCCTCTGTACACACTGGGAAATGGTATTAGGTTGTTCGGAAAATAATGTCCGATTTTAGAATCAACCTCTTAATTTTGTTGTAATATATTATGATAATAGCTGCACATAAATATATTGCCCGTTCCTAATGATTAAAGGATCCTCTTTGTTAATTTTATATCAATCTCTTTCAGAATATTGTTCTCAAATATCTGACGCACCCTTCCAAAGAAGATGGAGAAACTGCATTCAAAGATTTCTTGGCGTCCAAACCTTTAAAGGTATATCATAAATCATAAATTACTTAACTCGACGGCAGAAGTTTATGGATGTTCATGGTAACGTTGTTGACTCATTTAGACAATGTTTAAAGGCATCGATTCAGTAATAAAAGTTGATTCTAGAATCAGACATGAATTTCCGAATAAGCTATGTCTCCATGAAGAATTTTAATGCATCTCAATTTTTACGCTTTCTTGCCTCTCTCTGTCTTTCAGTCTTTCGTTACTCGTCTCTTGACAGCCAGTTAGCAAACCTGTCTCTCTTTCACCTCAATCTTTCCCCTTCTCTCTCTCTCTCTCTCCCTCTCTGCCACATATATATATATAATTCCAAAAAGAACCAGCAATATTATTGGTCCAGATCTGGCGTCTCGGATTCAATCCCTTTCCCATTGCCGTAATGCTCACCTTCCTGTGCCTTTTCTATAAACACTTTCATAGCAACTGCCGGGATGAGTTCTTCACCATGGTACCGAGACCCTTTGAATTTATGCGTAGTACTAGCTTGACGACGAAGCTTCACCAATTTAAAGTTGAATTAGCTAGGTGCAACCGCAAGTTCTATGCTTAGAGTTTCTTTTCTCGCACTTCTCACTTGTGGAACTCTCTTCCGGCTCCATGCTTTGATCAGCCAACTTTCATCTTCAAAATTTTAAACGCATTGTCAATCGCTTTCTACTGTCTTTTTGATTACTCTTCTTTTGTTCTCACTCCTTAACAATGTTTCTCTCTTTTTATTCTTTCACACTCAGTAAACCCTTGTGTCTTAGTGGCTTTATTGCCTTGCTTGGGGTGAAATGACTAGAAAACAAATTTAAACGCAATATCAATCGCTTTCTACTGTCTTCTTGATTACTCTTCTTTTGTTCTCCCTCCTTAATAATGTTTCTCTTTTTTTATTCTTTCACACTCAGTAAACCCTTGTTGTCTGAAATGTATGATATGGAATCCCATAATGCATCATCCAATCCCGATCTCAAATGGCCTTTCAGTAAGTGGATGTATTTTTGCACTATTCAAACTCTCGTCAATTTTAAACAATTTTCTTGAACCACCCCTTTTCATGTAGCCCTAAAAAAAATGACCGTTTTCGTTGTGTAATGTGGGTCATTTCGATTTTTTGTTAGTCTTTTGATAAAATTACGCTTGCTTTTCTTGTCAGAAAACGTACTGTATTTTCCGGCTTACAAGACGCACTTTTTTCCTAAAAAATACCCAGAAAAATACGTGTGCGTCTTCCAAGACGAATGTAAGCTTGGACGGTCACCTAATTGGCTTGACTGATAGTGACGTAGATTTGTATGTTGAGTCATTACACTATAATGTTAGCTATCTATCTAATTCTGCTTTTTATTGTAACCTCAGTACTTAGCAGTTACAAGTATTCCCAAGGCTATAAACGTTCCTGAAACCGTGCCACAAGCTTAAACATGCTCTGTTTACTAAAAGCAGCGGGAGCCTTTCTGCTCTTGACTAGTATATCATTGCTATACAAACAAAATCAGATGAGTGATTAATGTAAACAATACGAGACGCCAGTGTATGAGGGACGCATAGTGAATGTTATGCTGTATGAGAATGACTTAGGAATTTCTTTCCAATAATAGGGTGCGTCTTCCAAGCCACAGCGTCTTGTAATCCAGAAAATACGGTAATTAATACAAGTTCAGTAGAGTCAGGGACAGAGACTACACGCTGATCCTAGATCGAAAAACGTAACTGTCGTACATAGAAACAAGTAGAATACTAGTGTTAAATTACATTTACCAACGAGAAGAATTATTTCCTGTCTTACAACCGATAAATTCCTGCACTTGATGTTTTCGGCGTGTCAACAAGAGTGGGAACTGGTATGTCGCATCTTGCACTCCATAAAAGGAGGAGATATTAGAGTTGGATTATTTAAATGTGGATTTATTATAAGCGAGATGGCCGGCGGCTGTCGTCAGGCCAGTCGAGACAGGAGAAAAGAATTGAATGACAGAAGAATGTGACAGAAGTCAGTGACGTGACACCTTGCAAACGTGTCAGATCAATGGTGACTATTTTTCCTAAAGCATGCACTCTAATAGGAATGACTGATCATAATGGTGGACTGGAAGCTTAAAAGTTTACTCAACTGACAATTGTTCACATATATGCATGGCTTACGGCTATATCACGATGAAACACAGGTTTTCGTCCGATCATCGAAATTAAGCAACTTTGAACTTGGTCTATGCCAAGATGGGTGACCGCTTAGCAATACCTGGTGCTGTAAGCTCGAATGTACGGGTGGTATAATAGGCTTACGATCACATCTCGTTGAAATAACGGTTCTCGTCTGATGACCGAAGTTAAGCAACGTTGAGCCTAGTTTGAACCTAGATGAGTGACCGCTTAGGAATACCAGGTGCTGTAAGCTGGAATGTGCCGGTCGTATAATTGGCTGACGGTCACTAAACGTTGAAATGACGGTTCTCGTCCTATTACCGAAGTTAAGCAATGTTGAGCCTGGTCTGTACCTAGATGGGTGACCATTTAGGAATACCAGGTGTTGTAAGCTTGAATGTGCGGGTAGTATAATAGGCTTACGGTAACATCACGTTGAAATAACGATTCTCGTCCTATCAACGAAGTTAAGCAACGTTGAGCTTGGTCTGTACCTAGATGGGTGACCACTTAGGAATACCAGGTGCTGTAAGTTCGAATGTGCGGGTGGTATAATTGGCTTACGGTCACATCACGTTGAAATAACGGTTCTCGTCTGACGATCGAAGTTAAGCAACGTTGGGCTTGGTCTGTACCTAGATGGGTGACCGCTTATGAATACTAGGTGCTCTAAGCTTGGCTGTGCTTGTGGTATGGCTTACAGCTATATTACGCCGAAACACCTGTTCTCATTCGATCTCCGAAGTTAAGCAACGTCGAGCCTTGTCAGTACATATAGGGGTGATAGCTTGGAAATATCAGGTGTTGTAAGCTTGAATGTACCGGTGCTATGGATTATCACGTCGAAACACCGGCTTGTATCCGATCACCGAAGTTAAGCAACACCGGCCCTGGTCAGTACCTAGATGTCTGGTCGTTTGGGAATCTGTGTAATGTAACCTCGAATAACCTGCCTAACGAGTTTGTGTAAATGTATAGCAGCGCGAGGAGTTGGGCGGTACGGTAAGAGTATGGTAAGGGTACAAACATTGCTTCGAGCTATATTGGACAGGAAGCTGTAGAGAGCCATAATTTCTCATATCCTGAAGCAAGACGGTGCATAAAATATGAACGCTTATTTTTCTCTATGGCATTTTATAGCCGAAGTTATGACTTTTATTTCTACGACATTCTAAGCCCCACCACCCGACTCGGTCTCCACCAAATTTAATTTGATGGATTATCTGCCTGTTATCTTATGACGTCATGACAGCGTGATATTTTGGGGTTTTATCTCTGCTCGTCCAATATAAGCAGTCTTCGTTTTTATTAATAAATAAATTCAGCTTATTTTGCTTGAGGCAAGCGTGTTTTTATCTAAACGGTTACAAACATTTGGCCTGTTTTGACTCGGAAAAAAAAAAATTTCTTCAAGGACAAGCCCAATATATTAATGTCGAAATTAATGGCACCCATTGTAACGGTGTCAAAATAAATTGTAAAACATGTTTTTAGATCCCCCCATCCACCACATACCCCAACTAAGTTTCTCTCTTGCTTGCACCTTTATAGGAACATAGATACAAGAATTGGTTAATCTTAACTAATTTTCATTCTTGTGTGAAGCACCCAATGTCCTGGGTAAGATGATAAACTACGTCCAACAGCAATCAGGAGGTCAGGAGGTTTTGAGGAGCGTGGAACCACCTCTTAATTGCTGGTGTTCCCAGGTCCACCCTGATCCGAATGGTAGCACCTGTTAGGGTCCCAACTATGGGCAAATAGTTAACCCCGAAACTGAGGTAAAAAGCATTATGAAAGTGTAAAAATGGGTTTTAATACCAGAGATACTTTGTAAAAGAATTGTTACCAGAAATAATTTTTTGAAAAAAAAAAATATTACCAGCAATATATTTTTGAAAAAAAATATTACCAGCAATACATGTTTTAAAATATTTCAAGCTATACATTTTTGAGGAAAAAAAATATTACCAGAAATAGATTTTTGACAAAACAAAATATTACCAGAAAAAAAATTGTCGGCATTAAATAACCCATTGAGGTTGATATGCCGTAAAAAACACAACAAACCAAACCAAACCAATGAACATCGAAATTACATTGTCATAGTTTTAGCAGATGCTGAGAAACTGTGACACCGAAATCCGAAGATGCATTGGCATAGCGAAAGATGCCTTCTAAAAACTAAGTGAAGTATTAAGAAACAGGAAATTTTTCTTAGAAACAAAGAGTGCGGAACTGCTATGAAATACCAGACTTTTTTATATGTGGCACAAGGCCGAAAGTAAGGGTCACCCATTGACGATCGAACTTATTATTCAGTCGTAATCGATCTAGCGACACAAGCTTGTTAACCATTACACCATGTCGAAATACTGAGTGATTTACTAAGCGGAGCTTAATTGTGGCACAAGATCGAAAGTAAGGAGCTCCTAGTGAGGATCAAACTCAGTCACAGAAAATCTTGCGAGACAAGCTTGTTAACCATTACAGCACATCGAAGTGTCCTAGTTTTTCTATATGGCAGTGAATCCAGGACATTTTCCTTATAGGTGAACAGAAGAGGTAAAAGAAACTTTCGGTCGCATCACGTTAAAACACCAATTCTCGTACGATCACCGAAGGTAAGCAAGCACGAATCTGGTCAGTACTTAGATGGGTGACCACCTGGGAATATCAGGTTCTGTAAGCTTGGATGTCTTGGGGGGTGTAATGGATATTGGTTCGGAATTGTTAATCGGCGAGCCGACTTTAATTCCAGTTGAGTTTGAATTATTCACTTACGCACAAATACCTCCCTAATCTAAAAGTATTTCCTGGCTTTGAATAATGTGCAAAGGGTTGATAAACCGTAAAAAAGAATCAATCAATCGACGAGGCAAAGTGATGTGGCTCTACAGAAGGATGCTGAGAATACAATGGTCGAAATATGCGAGCAATGAGGAAGTTTTAAGGAAAATGAAAACAAAAAGAACAATTTTATTTAGAATCAGAAAGAGACAACTGAAATTTCTAATTCATAATGAGGAAAGAGGGATTTGATAATTTGACACTCACATGAATGACGCCAAGAGGAGCAGAGGGAAAGATCGAATAACCTACCTAACGAGAGTGAATGGTAGAATAAGGAATGGGGATTTTCTTTACTTCAAGCTACAATAAGAGGCAGTAAAGGAAAGCAGGAAGAAAGGACTATCTATTGTAAGAAAATAGAATATATGGTTGTTAGCAAGAGGAACAGCCCAAGATACGAACTACAAAACTGAAATATCGAAATCAAATACAAAATTTAAATAACTGGTAAGTGTTCTAACTTCTTTGTATTGAGTCACTCCATGACGTTGGCGATCGTAGCTCTCCCCAATTTCCTGTCTTTTGTAACTCTGAAAAAATGATGTCATTTTTTTATCTCTCCTAAAACTTGCTCCGCCATAGAGGACAAAATATGATACCGAAATCAGAAGAGACACTAAAATAGATACATAGATACAGTAAGAACACAACAGGACCGACTAGATAAGTCTGTAAAGGAAAACATCAGTTGTAAGAAGACAGAATGCGTATGGCCGTCAGCAAAATGGGGGCAGCCCAAGATGAGAGCTACAAAATGGAGAGGTCAGAATCAAGCAAGTACACAAATTGGTAATTATTTTAACAGACGACGGAAAATGTGGCACATAAATTTAAAGGTGCATTAGAAGATCGAAAGATGCCTTCCAAAATCTAAACAAAAAAGACACTCTTTCGGTCCTGTCACTGGATCTAACCAACGGCTTTATTCACTGTGCCATGTGTGAGTTCAATACCTGGTTAAGGCGGTGGAGAACATTCAGAGGGGAATTAACAGGAGATAACTGATGACTGATAGAAATGACACGTGGAACTAGAATAATCTATCCCAGTGAGCGAAATAAAGGGTTCAGTTTGACATTCCAACCACCTGAAGGAGGCCGGAGCGTACAACGGCCGAAACGTTGTAATAAATATAGCGACAAAGATGAGGACCAAATAATGTAAATAGTGTTCAAAAACTAACTGAAACCGACTCCATTCTCGTTAGATTTCAGTCCCATCCACTTCCTAAAATCAATACTTCTGGTGATAAACATTAATATATATATATATATATATATATATATATATATATATATATATATATATATATATTAAGCGTTTCACCCCAAGCAAGGCGGGAAGCCACTAGTACACAAGGGCTTACAGAGAGTTGGAGCTAGAGCAAATAGGAGTGATAGAGGAAAAGATGAATAGAAGGATAGGGGATAGATCAGGGCATCTGGAGACGTCGATTGACATTACATTTGAATAGTTGGAGGTTATAGCTATCAGAGAAACTGGAAGATGGGAGGGAGTTCCACAGGTGAGAGGTGCCAGACATGAAGCTATTGGAGTAGAAGAGATGGTTACATTTAACAGTTTCGACAGTGAAAGGGTGTGAGCGAGATGCCAGCCAAGTAGAACGCTTAAATTCATGAAGTTTGGGAACCAGCGAAAGCAGCTCTTCGGAGCAGTTACCATGAAAATATTTGTAAAAAAGACAAAGGGAGGCGACGGCACGTCTGTGAGAGAGCGACTGCAGACGAGATGTCAGATCAGGGCCAATTACGTTGCATATCCGTCTCTGGATCTTATCAAGAACCTTGAGACAAACAGAAGGGGCATCGGACCATATATGGCAGCAATACTCCATGCAGGGGCGAATGGTTGATTTGAAGGATCGACTCCGGCGAGAAAAATTTCCTAGCGCGGCACAGGGAGCTAAATTTCCTTGCGGTGGACGAAGCTATTGACTCAATGTATTTGTTCCATCTCAGGTCAGCAGTCAATATTAATAAAAAAGAAAATTTTCACTAGCAACAAAAAAAGAAAAGAGGTGTGAATTGTTAGATAATATCAATCCTCGTATATGAGAGTAAATAAAAGATAATTTATTGAGAGATGAAGAAGAGACTTAAGCACCTGAGATTTTATACAGGACGATGTTGAGAATAACATGGGAGGAACATGCGAGCAATGAGGAAGTCATCAGGAAAATTGGAAACGAAAAGAACGTTTATACATAAAATCAGAAAGAGACAGTTCAAATTTCGAGGATAAATAATGAGGAAAGACGGTTTGGTGAGTTTGTCACTCACTTGACGATTATCGCTTAATAAAATTCCACTAATTTAAAACTACAATTTAAAAGATTGGAACGAAATTTATGTCGCCTTTTTGGCATGATTACATTAAGAGTGCTTTTTCAATAATTTCGGTAAAATGATTTTGTACATTCTAATGTCATTTTCTTTTATTACAGACTAGCAGTAGAGCCCGGCGTTGCCCGGAGATGTAACAGTCAGAGATAGATCAAGTATCGACCATCATAAAGACTGAAAAATAAAATTGACAAAGATTATTGTTTAAGGTTGACGGACACGCATGTCTTAATTATTATTTTTTTTTTACGAATTGGTCAAACCCAAACTCAAACAAAAACATTGTTTTCAATCGTTATGAGTCTCCCAATTGAATAGAATTTTATTATAAATAATTGTCTTGTAAATGGAATAAAGAAAAAAAGTGTGCAAGACAATAAGAAACACTACCTGCACCCCCAAAAAGTGAAGTTTTGTTGAAATCGGTTGAAAAATGTAGGAAATCCGATCCCATATATAAACAAACACACACACACACACACACACACACACACACACACACACACACACACACACACAAACAATCTGGGTTTTATAAGTATAACTCGTTAAATTTGTCCCCCTTTCATTCTCGTGATGATTCTTAATCGTGTTTTCAAATTGATTTTGTGCAAAAACAATTGTGTTTTTCCAATTTCTGGCGCTGTTAGAACCACCGCAAAGTAATTTTACGTAGTCATGTGAAGTTTTGTTGAAATCGGTTGAAAAATGTAGGAAATCCGATCCAATATATAAACGTACACACACACACACACACACACACACACACAATCTGCGTTTTATAATAAGTAAGATTACTTATCAGATCAGTTAAATTTTGAATCGAATTTACCCTATTGCGCAACTGCTTGGGCATTAACTAAAACTCTACAGTATAAGCTTACACTTACAACTAAACCACGGCTTTTTGTACCTATCCCTGATATTTCTACAATCTTACGTGAACGAGGAATGCGCTTTGCTGGCAAGTAACACAAGAACTTGCGACTGATCTACTGCTCTGGACAGCTAATCATGGCACAAGTCGGGTTGGTTGCCCACCAACCACTTACATTGACCAGCTATGTTATGACACAGAATTTCATCCTAATGACCTTCCAACCTTGGTGCGGTACCCTGATGGTTAGGGTGATCGATAAATGTCGTGTAGACTGAATAAAAAATAAATGCCGTATTAAACTTATTAGGTTGAGTCATAAATAATTTCCTTATTTTTACTTTTAACTTTATTCTTCAAAAAAAATTACAATAAATTTTTATTCAATTATATATCTATCGTTATTTGCAATGCCACTTATCAGGAAGCTCCCCGATGTCTTTTGAGTAAAATTCCGCAAGTTTTGAAGTGATTTCTTACGGACTCTTGACCTTAGCCCTCATGAGCCAAAGTTACTCTCATCAATTTTGCACGGATCAAAAAAGGCAATAATCGATTGGTGCAATGCCAGATAAATATGGCTGTTGGAGTAGAACAGACCAACCGAGTTCCCAATTATTTTCCCGTGTTGTTCCTTTTGTATGCGACTTTGTGTTTGCCATGGAGGAGGAAAACATTTTTCTTATTGACGAGCTACTGGAAATCCAAATGTGCATTTAGTATTTCATTGCATTTTAAGGGCTCTAAATGAATAACACCTCAACGATCCCACGACACACACATACAATGTTAACTTCTTTCTATGGATCACAGCTTTTGTGATCGGTTGTGGAGATTTATCAACATTTTTCCTACTAATGAGCGCCTTTCGATCACGCTTGTACGGACAAGTTGCAGCTGCTCGATGTATCAATGTGCATTTATAGTTTCATTGCGTTTTAAGAACTCTAAATTAATAATACCACGACGATCCCAACACACGCACAACTTTAGCTTTCATCTATGGAGCTCAGCTTTTGGGAGATTTATCCTTGTCAGTCCGCTGTCTTTTGCATTGAACATTATCGTATGTATCCAATTTTTCCTCCTCTGTTATGATATATTTAAGGAATAGTTAGTTAAGATGATCCACTTGTCATTATAATGGATTCCTGAAAATCGTAAATTACTTATGGCTTAGCCTAATAGCTCAAACTCATATTAGACAATGACATAGCCTAATAATGACACATATCAGGCAATGACTTAACCTAATAATGACACATATCAGACAATGACTTAACCTAATAACGACCCATAACAGTCAATGACTTAACCTAATAATGACACATATCAGACACTGTAGCAGAAGCGGTCAGGGAAAGATTTTTTTTAATCATATAACCCCATGCAAGGCAGTAAAGCCACTAAGACACAAGGGGCTACTGAGTGTGAAAGAATAAGAAAAAAAAATTTTTAAAGAGAAAAACAATATAAGTGTAATCAAGAAGACAATAGATAACGATTGACATTGCATTAAAATTTTTGAAGATCAAAGTTGGTTAGAAAGCATGGAGCCGGAAGAGTGTTCCACAACCGGGAAGTGTGAGAGAAGAAA